AATCCTAATCTCAATCCTTAAATAATTTCGGTATCCTCATCCCAATCCCTAAATATTTCGGTATCCCAATCGGTACTTCGGTATCCCAATCGGTATTATCGAATAAGAAATTAATTAGATTTGATTGTTTATTATAGGACAAAGAGACTAAGCAAAGATTCTTTAGTTTGTCTAAAGCTAGGATATGAATAAGGAGAATGGAGGAGAGGTGACATCTCAAGTTTTTGTCATTGGTAATCTTTAATTTGATAATTTGGAGGCTAAGAGAAGATTAATATTAGTGTTTGTTTTTTGTGTTATGACAATAACAATAGATTGGTGGTTGAGGGTCGTGTAGTAGTGAATGAGAGAGTTTAGTTGAGAGCATAAAATACACATTAGCTTATATTTCGGTATTCTTTGATATTTCGGTATATACCGATTCCAATCCCGTAATCCCTAATATCGAATAACTATTGAAATTGAATTCCAATCCCAAGAAATAATACGCGTATTTGGTAATACCAAATATAGACAAATTCGGTACGGTATTCGGTATATCCCAAATACTGGTACCAAACTTCCAGCCCTAGGTAGGGTATGGATGAGATATATACGGGTTTGGGGGTTTGTAAATGAGTTTGGGTAAGGTGTGGATAGTGCTTTCATAATCTAAATGGGTATGGGTTGGGTAAGGATATCCATTTACTTGAAGGTGTTTTAACTACACATATACAATTTGGCCCTTTTTGTAAAACTTGAAAAGTTTAGGAACCAAAATGTAAGACCAAAAAATTTTAGGTACCAAAATATTATTTTCTATCAATATTTTGTGGACTTATATGGAAAAAAATTAAATGTAAGTACTAAATATGAATATCTATTAAGTTTAGGTACCAAAACTATAATTTACATTTGGGCATGGTACGAATCCATGTGTTAAAACACCAACCCAAGTAAATGGGTATGGGTCATACCCAACAAACTCTACCCATCTACATCTATTTAAATTTCACATCCAACCTAATTGGGTTGGATAGTAAAACACCCATGCAGGGGCGTAGCCAGTATTTTGTCAAGGGTGAGTCCATTTAGAAAAATATACATACGATAGTTTTAAATAATTCATGATATTTCTACTAAAAAAATTCATGATATAATTTTGTATATATAAAAACTTAGTAAATTAAATATATGTCGAAACTATCAAGAATATCACTTTATATGTATCAACCAAATATTAATGATTTAGGTAGACATTTGCTTTTGAATGGTGTTCTTCGTCAAGATCGTATAGTATATAGTATTAATAACTCGAGTTATTGTGAAAATTTTATTAATGGACTGTACTATTTAGTATTTACTAACACTTTCCCGCTAACAAAAACCAACTTATACATGCTTAAATTTTTTGCCAATCTGTATCATTTACTAAAAAAGATTATGATAAAATTTGCATATATAAAAACTTGATAAATTAAATATATGTCGAAACTATCAAGAATATCACTTTATATGTATCAACCAATTATTAATGATTTAGTTAGACATTTGCTTTTGAATGGTGTTCTTCATCAAGAATGTATAATATAGAGTATTAATAACTCGAGTTATTGTGAAAGATTTATTAATGGACTATACTATCTAGTATTTACTAACACTTCCCCGCTAATGAAAACCAACTTATACATGTTTAAATATTTCGCCAATCTGAATATCATGTGCTTAACAAATGGGTTCGCCAAGATTCGAACACATGATCTCTCGGTCAATCATACTCAATTAGAAAAATGCGTTAAATTGTCATTTGAAAATCATACACAACTTATAAATCATACATCAAATATTTGAAAGGCCAACCATTCTCATTAAAATACTTAATAATTTTCATACCCGCTTAACTATTATAAGTAATTTACGCTTTTTCTTCCCGGGTAATGGTAGGTCCAGGGACCCAACCTCTAACCTTCTCCCTCCGCGCCTGCTCTCCTGGGTATGGGCAAAATTATCATCCTTAAGTAGGTCGATCGAGTTTCAAATGTGTACTCACCAGCAATATTATTCCAAAAATTCAAGTATTCTAAAAACATTCACCACGGTTTAGGTAGCAGTTAAACTGTTAAAGAGAGGCACCTCCCAAATCGAATGAGGCAAAAACAACTTAAAAGAGCTCAGGAAGGCACTACTTGGTCGAAAATTTCCCCTGAATACAGGGGTTGCTAAAAAAATTACTTACCAAACAACAATTTACGGAAAAAATTTCCAAACTACAAGACTTTGGCGTGGATCACTGAACAGTGCAACGAACTAGAATGGGTTCATGGTTTATATCAGCGAACTAGCTGGTCTGGTGACTTCTGCGGCGATCGCTTACGACTTTTGTCTTTGTTCGTAGTTGTGGTCACCCCTAGATTTTAAAAATGCTATTAAAATGAAGGGGTTAATACCTTATTTTGGCCCGAACTATGACCATATAATCAACTTTGGCCCGTGGTTTCAGAAATTAACATTCTGACCTCAACTATGCAGCATATAGACTCAATTGGCCCGACACATAGTTTGACCGTCAATTTGGACGGTCAACTCCGTTGACCGTTAGTCAACACGCCATGTCATTGCCAAGTCAGCCTAAAAATCATTAAAAAAAATGCATATTCAAATTATTTTTCTAATTTTTCTTATTTATTATTAAATTAACCAAAAATAAATTATAAAAAACATAAAATAAATTTGATTTTTTATTTTTTGGATAATTTGAAAAAGTATAAATTTTATAAATTAACCAAAAATTAACAAATTATTTTATATTTTTAAAACTTCCCACAAAAATATAATTTATATCATAATTTTTAAATTTATAAAATTTAATTTGATAATTTTTGGTTAATTTATAAAATTTATCATTTTCAAATATCCCAAAAAAATTATTTTTATATTTTTATAATTTTATTTATTGGTTAATTGGAAAATATTAAATAATAGAAATTAGGAATATAATTTGAATTTAAATTTTTTAATGATTTTTAGGCTGACTAGGCAATGACATGGCATGTTGACTAACGGTCAACGGAGTTGACCGTCCAAATTGACGGTCAAACTATGTGTCGGGCCAATTGAGTCTATGCTGCATAGTTGAGGCCAGGATGTTAATTTCTAAAACCACGGGCCAAAGTTGATTATATGGTCATAGTTCGGGCCAAAATAAGGTATTAACCCTAAAATGAAATGTTTTTATTCATTGGAACTAGTTACAACATCATGCTAACAAATTGTGTATTAGCATCCTAACTCTACCCGCACATTTGGGAATTAGATGTACACTCTCCTATAGTGAATTATAGGGGAGCATATCCAGTAGTAACCTTGTGGTGATATAACTCCATGCATAACTCAATAAGAATCCGGCACATCAGCGCCTCCTTCTCTCTCATCGGAAAACCTTTAATTTTCCTTCCCTTAATCTTTAACGGATGATTTCTCACTCGTTTTAACTCGAAATTTAATTTTTTTTTTGCACAGTTAGATCAGATTAATTGTGTTCTTCAAAATGATATCCACCATGATATTGTTTGGAACAAAAAAAAAATTTCCAGTTATTACCAGTCTATACCATATGGTATTGACTGTACCATATAGTATTGACTGGTATTAAATAAGAGCATATCATATGGTATGAAAAATACCACCCCATACCAGGGTGGTATATTATGGTATGGAGTTGGTAACGAGAGGTATGGAATTTTTTCACCCAGAAAAATTTGAAATCCAATAGATCATGATTAAATCGTTTCTTCTGTGCAAAAATTTCCGAAAACGACTAAAAAACGAAGGAGATACCATATGATAGGGAGTTGGTAACGAGAGGTATGAAATTTTTTTCTCCGAAAATATTGAAAATGGATATCATTTTGTAGAGCACAACGAACTCGTTCCATCTGTGCAAAAAAAAAAAATTTGAAATCCGAGTTAGAATGAAGAAGATATGATCCAATCAAGAAAACTATGAAAAATAATTTTTTTTTTAATTCTCCACCCTTAGATCTGCAGCCACTTAAAAGAAGGATCCAGATTTGGTTCCTCATAGTTATACACCCTAAGGTTATGCACCCTATCTTGAGCCGAATCATAGGCCTTTAATGTCTAGCTCCCTTCCTTGTGTTCCTTTTCTTTTATTGAGGGGAAAGAGTATAGACCACATGTCCACAATAACTTTTGTAAAACGTATAATATTGGCGGTCCGATCGAAAAACTTTCTATTAATGTCAAAATTAGTAAGCATTTTTTAGTTGTAAAATGGTTAATCTATAGTCAAACCAAAACTTCAGTATAAAATAGATACTCTATTGGTTAGGGGTAGCTATACGGTCCGGTCCAGTTAAATTGGACCAAATTGATCTGGTCCGGTCTTTTGGGAATATAAGGATCAAAGATTGGATTGGATACAATCCGGTCTTGATCTGGTCTGGTCTTGACCCGGTCCGGTCCCTATTTGATCTTGATTTAGATTGAGCTTGTGGGGATTTGAGTGTTGGGGTCTCTTATCCGGTTTTTTACCTCAAATCTAAGCCCGAATATGACATTGGATTATTTGCTACCCGGTCCCGATCCAGGCTATACGGTCCGGTTTCGGGTAAAACCAAACAATCCGGACCAAATAGCCAGCCCTACTATTGGTTACTTTTTAGGTACGGTGTTACAATCCTTGGACCGCGGCCCTTGTCCCTGTTTTCTAGGGGTGGGCAGACGGTCGGTTCGGTTTGAACCGAACCGAACAGATGAATACCGGATCCCCGAAGTAGTGCAGGGGGAAAACCGAATTCGAACCGGGATATATTTCGGTTCGGTCCATTCGAACCGAAATATATCTCGGTTCGAATTCGGTTTTAAGGCAACACCGAACTTCCCCATTAACCTAATCTATCTCCCCATTTTCCATTTATGCGCTCTCTTTTTCTCTCTGTCTCTCTCTCTCCTCAGAACACAACGCAAGCGGCGATTGCTCCTCCCCTCTCGGGATTGACGACGACGGCAAGAACTCAGGCGGCGATGGCGATCGACGGAGAAGACAACCTAGCGGCAGGCGACGGCATGCAATCGATGGCAACGACAACAACTCAGGTGGCGATGGCGTTCGAAGGAGAGGAAAACTCGGCGGCGGAATGCAATCGACGACAACAACAACAACTCAGGTGACGATGGCCATCGACGGAGAAGACAACCCAGCGGCGGCAGCGATTGCATGTAAATTTTGGTTTGTTTTTTTCTCCTTCGTCTCTGTTTTTGATTTCGGTGCGCATCTGCATCTCTCACTGAGAGAGTCCCAAATCCATATTGTAGATCTAGTTTCCCCACCTACTACTGCTTTCTTCGTGCTTTGCATGTTGCCGATCTTCAATTCTTCTCTGTCTCCTCATTTTTCTTCTTCAATTAGGGATTTTTTTTATGGATTTTGCCTCTGTTTGTTCCTTGAATGTATTTCGTTCTTTGGTTTGCAGGTTTTTGGTTGTGAGATTGGAGCGGGTGGAGGGAATGGGAAGGGGTTAGTCAACGAGTGGTGATGAGGGCTAGCCGGTTAGGCAGCTCAGTCAGTTGTGCTCTGCGTGGGACGGCGTCGATGGAGAGCCAGAGGAATCGAGGTCCTCGAGAAGACAGCGGCTGAGTGGAGCGGCGACGGCCATGAGTGGGAAGGGGCGGACTGCCTAGAGGGTAGGGTTATGACTTGCGAGGGTTTGGGCTCGGTAGGTTGTGGGGAGAGTTGGGCTCAATTGGGTTGTGTGGAGAGTTAGGTTGTGAGGGTTTGGCTGTGTATTATAATTTTTCGGTTTTTCAGTTTTTCGGTTCGGTGTTCGGAATGTCGGTTCGGCCAACACGACCCTAGCTCCCGAACTATGCATTTTCTGTTTCCGATTTTCGAACCGAACAACATAATTTCGGTTTCGGTTCGATTTGAAGTCGGTTCGGTTAGGTTCGGTTTGGGTTTACCGAACCGGATGCCACCCCTACTGTTTCCCCAAGCTGGAACATAGGATTAATATCCACATTTGTTTGTTGATTTTGGGCTGGAGTCCATATTGGATCTGTGCAGCTTCCCTGTCCTTGGGCCGAGTTTGCTTGGGGCTGCATCTCCGCTGGGCTTTGGTGGACTTGTTCAGCGTGATGTGGGGAGAAGGGTTGGGCACAACTACAAACGAGCATTTGTAAATTGTAACAAAGATAATAAAAAATTTATCATAAGATGATAATAGTTATTACAAGACTAATAAATTAAAAGCGACTGTGAATACTAATTGTGTTGGGGAAATCATTAAGGCATATGGGCCTCCAAGCCCACGATCACTAAAAGGCCCAATAAAGCAAACAAGCCCAATCCAGGAGACTAGGAGGCGGTCTATCTGTCACCCCTAGGGATGGCAATGGGTAGGGTCGGGTGCGGGTTTACCCTATACCAACTCCTAACCCGCCGGGTAGAGCCTTCTAAAATACCCGACCAAATAACCACCGGGTATGAAAATTATATAACCATACCCTACCCACCGGGTAACCACGGGTATTCGGGTAACCATGGGTACGAATCCTAAACTATGAACTTATACACATATATGCACATACATATTGTTGTCCATTAAAAATTCTCAATACTTCTAATTGTTCTAGCTTCAACAATCCACACAAATAAAAACAACAAAAACATAATAATTGTTCTTGCTTCTACAATCCACACAAACATAATAATCGTCTACACCTTCATCATCAATAATGGTAGCTAAACTAAATTTCTCAAGCTAAACTAAATTTCTCAAGGGAAATTAACCTTTTGGTTAGAGGGGCGGGTATTATTGATTACCATACCCGTACCCTACCCTTTATTTCGAAATCAGGTATTACCCGTACCCGCACCTTAACCCGTCAAAGCGGGTAATTACCCTCGTTGACCGGTTACGGTCGGGTAGGGTACCCATGGTTACGGGTTGGATTGACATCCCTAGTCACCCCCGTGAAGACCGCCCAACATACAACGGAAACAAAGCAGGACGCCTGACAGCGAGCATGTACGGCATCCTGACAACGAGGTACGGATACTGACCAAAGTACAGATCTGACCATGCATTTATGGGAAACCAGAGGCGGCTGGAGGCCGCCCGACATAACGTAGATTGTCCTCACTCCCATGCCCAGCTAGTATAAATACCCATCAATGGATCACATTTATGGTAACTTCTATCTACTCGATTCTCTCTCCTATTTACTCTCAACTCACTTCTCTCTCTAACTTTGGCATCGGAGGAGGTCCCAGGGCAACCCCTGAGGACCTTTCTTGCGGGAGTTCGAGGATCGCCTCTCACCTGACCAGGACCGCACGAAGTCAGTGGAGTCTCACAAAACCGCCCGGTACGAACCAGGCTTAAACATTTTGGCGCCCACCGTGGGGCCTCACGACTTCGTCGCCGGAAAAGATGGGAGACGATTTCGAAACCCCCCTCAAGGGAATGATCGAGAATAACACCCTCCGAGGTCTATCGCCGAGAGTGGAAGATGAATCCGAGCTCGAGGAGGTAGTCAAGAGCCAAGGCTTACAGATCGCGAGCATGCAAGACAGTCTGTCGCAAATCCTCCAACTATTGAAGACAAAGGAAGACCCCCCCCCCCCCCGAGAGTTCGAGGGGGAGACCGCGTGAAGAAAAACAGAAGGCCGCCCTGATCCTCGACAGCCCTGCTCGGACAGAAGGCGGAGGACAGGAGGCGGAAGAAGTGGACCTTGGATATCTCGATTTCTTCGATTTTCTTAAACTAACTCTCTGACATAACTGTCACCATATGCTAGATTTTACTCATAAGTTAACCCTGGAACTTGGGTAACTCCACATGGTTTATGGACTTGCTCTTTCTCACTGTACACCTTCATACTTTGAAGTATGACTTTTTTTACCTTTCCACATTTTCTTTATGGATAGGTTTATGTCTCGTTGTAGGGTCTTGAGATAGTAGCCGAAACAACGGCTAGCTCCTCTCCCCCACAATTCTCCCATTTATTTTCCATGGTTTTACTTATTGAACTTGCCAACCACTATATGTATCTAATTGTTTACCAATGGTATGATCTCACTCGATTAGCATACCATAAACAATTCAGATTTTATTAGAAATATCATCTAATTACTTACCAATGGTATTGATCAAGGCAACTTGAGACGTCATAAGTAATTCAAATGCATTCCAGTAATGGAAATCTTATGTAATTACTTACCAATGACATTTCATCTATGTAACATGATATACCACAAGTAATTCAAATGAATTTCTAATACAATTGTCTAATTACTTTCCAATGGTATAAACTTCATAAATATACCATAAGTAATCCAGACTTTAAGTTCAATAAAATCATCTCAATTGAGACTCATTCCAAATTGGTTGCCAATGATATATGTCTATATATACCATAAACAATTCTGACAACTAGCTCCACGTTGATTATCATAGTCAAATTGTTTTCCAATGGTATAGTGTACATATACCATAAACAATTATGACCTAATGCTTATCTTGATGACCACCATCATTTGACAAGCTTATTCAATCGCTATAAGGATTAATCATAGCTTTATTTTCCTTGCCCTCATGGCATAGGAAACATCAAGTCCTAAACCACATACATAATAAACAAATTATCATGTCTTTACAAGTATCTTAAGAATTAGAATTCCTTATCGCTTGTAGCTTTCTCGTAATGCAATCATTTAAAGAAGCATTTACCAAATTTTATCTCCAACACATTGGAGGTATCATTTGCGTTTTATGTTCAACTTACTTTGAGCATAACATTTGCATTCATATTTGTAACAACTTAGGCTTATATAAACTTGACCACAAGTCCCCACAAGCCTCTCGTTATAGGTTTCGCACACCTATGGTTGTTCATATATTCTTTTTGCCACCTAGGAAATATGAACCTTTATTTAACATTATGTAAATACACAGTTTACATAAGTCCATCTTCATGGATCAAATTCCATGTCTCGGGAACACTTCCCAATATATTGTTTCAATTTACTCCAAACAACTTGGTCACATAAACCAAAGTGTTACATCTTTCAAGTGCTCAAAATCGAAACTCACAAATTTTATGAAAAATTTGTTTCCAAGAATTCAATATGAATTCTTTCAAATTCAACCAAGTAGAACTTTCTTGAACTCTTCTCATAATATAAATTATGAGTTCGTTCACATGCCTCAAATACTATAAAAGTATTTGAAATTGCTAACCAAACCGAATTGGTTTATAATTCTTTTGTGGTCACAAGTTTCACCAATCGTTAACTTAGTTCCCAACCAAACTGTCTTTCTCATAGCAACCAAGGAGGGGCACCAGTCTTGCCGTGTCTTAGAAATGGGATGGGTTCAATTGGCGAAAGGGGTCTCTTTTTTGTACGCCTCTAAGGTCTACAAACTGGTTGGATGCTCTTCACCAATTACACAGCGACACCCCATCAATTCATGTAGTAGATTTATTCTACTTCATTTTTCCATTAACAATATCACTAATAAACAAGAAACATAATTCTTTTTAATGACATACCTTTCATTGCCAATGCATGCATGTATACTTGGTGCCGGTGGCATACTATCATTGTTTTAACTAGGGTGTCAAGTTCGAGATTCTCGATAGGATTAGGACTAAAATTTTGGTATCGGTATTTGAGATATACTAATTACCGTATCGAACCTATCACTATTTGGTATTATCGAATACTGGCTTATTTTTTAGGAATTGAGAATTTGAGATTGAGATTCATTATTGAGTGTTATTCGGTATTCGGGATTGGGATCGGTGTATACCGAAATACCGAGAAACAATGAAAATTGAAAATTAGTGAAATATAGCTAGCTACAACCTTTGGCCATTGCTCACACTTTCACAACTCACAAGTCCCCATCCAACTCAATTTTGGCTTTCAAGTTTAAATCACTCTCGTCTCTCACCTAATATTTTGTTATTTTCATAACACCAAAAAACAAACACTAGTAGTAGTCATCTCTCGGCTTCCAATTCGTCGAATTAAAGATTACCAATGACAAGAACTTGATATATCACCTCTCCTCCCTTCCCCTTATCCATGTCCTAGCTCTAGGAAAACTCCAACTCTTTGCTTAGTCTCTTCGCCCTAAATTAAACAATCAAATCTAATTTATATATTTAATTATTAATTGTAAAGATAACTAATTTCATATTTGATAATACCGATCGAGATACCGAAATAACGATTGGATACAGAAATATTTAGGGATTGAGATACCAAAATTATTTAGGGATTGAGATTGAGATTGATTTTAGAGTATAATTCGATATTCGGGATTTTGGTATTCGATATTGGGATACCGATACTGTACCAATTTCTACCCTATATAGGACGGTAAAATCTTTTGACCTTATTGGATCGAATAATTGTTATTAGAAAAGTTTGCACATACATAAATACTTGTCCTTTACTTTACAAATAATGCTAATCAAAAACTTTTTAAAACATTCATTTTAACATTTAGGAGTAGTAAATTGAGCTTTAAATTCCCATGCCAAATAGTAACCGACAACTGTGGCAATGAGGAAGTCATAAATTTGAATGAGGAGGTTGCTTCAGAGAATTTGAACTAGTTAGAAGGCTAAAATATTATCAATTACTATATTTCTTAAACTAGTTTTGTGCCCGTCTGATGGGCGGGAGTATCATTTGTTTTTATTTTTTATCATTTTTTTCAATGGCCTCGAATTTCTACTTTTCATATTTATTTATTATTCTTATCTATTATTCGTGTTTCATCCAATTGCATCATGATCAACAATAATGTCAAAATACGCTGTAACTTCATCACCGTTTGGAAAATACTAAATAGTATTCATGACCATCTGATCTTT